CCGTCACCGGTAAGCCTTATCTTACGGCGTATTTGACAGGAATACGGTGTCTGTGACCCACGTTCAACCCACAACTGGCAGGATTCGCCTTTCGTTTCTGCTGCTGGTTCAAATCTGTACTTGCATAGCGTGCTGAATGATTTGTTTGGCTCGTGCAAGAGGGTGAGTGTCCATGCGCCGTTGTGCATGGACACTGACCGTCTTGCGATTGGACTTTGAACTTATCCCACAGTAGTGGTACCGTGGGGTACAGTAGTACTACGGTACTCCAACAATGCTAGCGCGGGTGGCAACCAATCATGCGGGACATGGTCTCAATTTGCGTGACACGTGAAAAGAGACAGAAATGCTGTGTAGTCCTGCACAGTGTGGGACGTCTGGTCACCCTACTTAGCCACTTGCAAGCAGCAGCTAGTAGGGGACCCCATTAGGGGGGATTCCAACATGTTGTTGTTGTTGTTGCAGTGGGGTTCCATCATATTGTCATTGATATGGACCAATGTCAGCCGTCTCTGGGGGCCCCCTTCCAGCTCGGGGCCCTAGGCAATTGCCTAGTTTGCCTGTCGGGTTGCGATGGCCCTGCCTGTTTGTAATCTTTGTGCTAAGATAAGATAGCTGGTTGCTAGCATGAATATTAAAAAAAAAGACCTGGATACAGCATTAGAGGTATAGGACCTTGCTCCTTCCTATGGAAGTTGTTCGGTGGTGCATGAAGCCAAAAATGTAACTGTCATGTATGAAATTACCCGAATGATTGGAGCAACTTCTGCATCATTGGGCTTATTAAACGGGCGCACTAGAGACTTCTGCTGGTCAAGCTGAATACTTCCACCTTAGCAATTCACTGACTTGAGTGGGATAAAATGATTTCTCTACTACACTTTCAAAATGTTTTTGGGATGAATGGATCAAATCCTAATAGCAAAACAAGTCATTTGCAGTTGTGATGCTCAAAAACATTTATTTAACACTTACCTACACTTATTTACAGATGTCTTTCCCAATGTAAGCCTATAGGAAAATTTCTTTTAGGATCCATTGACATCATGTGACAGACTCAGGAGTTGTAATTCCACTGTTTGGCCACTATGAAAATTGGCTTCAAAGCGCAATGCACCTCCTGGAGGCCTGGTTGCCATCTGTACCTTTAGAGTTTGCTAATATACAGAAATATGAGATTGGATTTAATTATTTCATCCTTCACTTTGAGCAAGGAAACAAAAAAGTGTCTCTCTTTTTAGATTAAATGTTGTTCTCTGATACTTATGCAAGCTAAAATATGACTTCTGTTTTTGGTCAATCAAGAGGCTATTCAAACTCACTTGGTACTGAACCTCTTTTACCTTAATAATGAGAACATTTCAGATCATACCTAAATTGGAGACAGATTGGTTGGTAGCCTGAAGTCATTTTGAAATATCTGGATGCCATGTTCCCATTGGCCATTTTAAAGTGACCACATTCAACTGTCAATCAACATTAGTCCTCAAAGAGTTACTCTTTTACTTTTACATGTAGTTTATCATGGAGCATTATCATACTTTTGGATGTATTTTTGGATGGGCCCGTTTACAGGCTGTACAGATACAAACTCACATGCATCCAGGCTTGAGTGATTGATGTCAAAACAGAGAGTAAAGAAGAGATTAACATGCGCACACAGACACAGACACCTCGAATGCCTCAGATAACAGCACAGATTGAGATTGGTGCCAAAGCAGTGGCGTGAGATGAAACTGTTAGTGAGAGTGGAGGGTGGAGCTTAAAGCACAGGTGGAGGGGGGCGTCTTGGCTGAATTTGAGAGCGTCACTGGCATGCCCACATCACAGCTGGTCAGATAGAAATAGAAGAGGCAGTAACTGAGCCCAGGAAAAAAGAGGAGCGACCACTTTCTACTGTGTGGATGAACAGGTCTGTCTGAGAAGTCAGACGCCTCAGGCATTACAGAGGGACTTAGAGATTTAGTTAAGCATGCAGCAGGACATTAAGTTGAACCTGATAACAATATCATCCATCTGAATTAAAATGGCTTTCAACATAAATAGCTTCGACTGAAGGCCTTAAACACAGACGTCTGAAATCTGAAATGTTATCCAAAGCATCTCTTATAGCCTATTTATTCTTTCTAAACATAGGAAGGTTAAAGGTCACTATGAATATCAAGGAAAAGGCTACTTTTTTCACTTAAAGGAGCTATGTGTAAGAAATCTAAAGCAAATAGTCATAAAATCCTCCTAATATGTGAGACTAAGGAATAATGTTCATATAACATACTGATCTCACCGACAACAATAGTACGGCCAGAATATTCGCATTAAAAAAAATTTTTTACAGTCCGCAAATCATGTTTATGCTTTGAATTTGTGTTTTGGCCTGTTGCGCCACCCACTGCCGTCTACCAGTCACACAGTCAGTAGAGTCTCAGCATCAGTTACAGTTACAACTGAGCTACAGCAGCACGGCAAGCAGCATTACGCCAGGGCCACACCGGGCACGGAAGCGCTGCGAATAGCCTCGAAGCGAAGCCAGTTTCCTTTCGGCGCCCATGTTAACAGAGCTCCGCGGCCGGCCCTGCAGTGATCGTTTCAGGGGCGGGTCTATTTTCTGCGTGAGCCACAAGCGAAATGTGTCAAACTGGGCAGGAAGTCACACAAAGGAACAACAACAGCATCCGGTCAATTTTCAGAATAAAACAAATTTCAAAATAAAACACCCCGTTTGACAAATGCAATGTATATATGTGTGTGTGTTTATATACATATTAGTCAGTGGTATCTAAACAGAGCGCAAGAGAGATGAACACGAACACACACACCCACAAATGCGCACACACACACACACACACACACACACAAGAAAGAGAGAGAGAGAGAGAGAGAGAGAGAGAGAGAGAGAGAGTGGGCCGGCTATAGGGGGTGGGGGTTGGGCCACACACACGCAAACAGAGAGAGATACCCATGATGGAAAAACAGCCCCAAATGTGACAGAGACAACAGCTGGGAGCAGAAGCGCTTGTCGACCGGCGTGGAGAAATGCGCGTCTGATGTGAATGGGCTCGAGCGAGAATTTTGGTGCGCTGCGCTTCGCATCACTTCGCAGCACTTCGTTGGCAGTGTGGCCCAAATCTTAGCAGTGTCCCGGTACATAGCATTAGCAGCCGGCTCCTCCTCAGCTGTATCCCGGCAGCAGCATTAGCAGTGTCCCGGTACATAGCATTAGCAGCCGGCTCCTCCTCAGCTGTATCCCGGCAGCAGCATTAGCAGTGTCCCGGTACATAGCATTAGCAGTCTCCTCAGCTGTATCCCGGCAGCAGCGTTAGCAGCAGAGAAGCTGGACTTGCTCGAACGGTCCGCTGGAAAACCAAAGATCAAGGACGCGGTGACGCAGCCCTGCCACGGCAGCCACCCGTGGGCAAACAAATCAGTCTCCAGTGTGTCGCTGTCAAGCAACCTCAAATCTGTAGGGGAGGGGGGGCAGACACGATTCACGGCAGTATTTTGAATTTGAGTGCAGTAACCGTTTTGGCCACATTCTTACATACAGCGCCTTTAAAATGTCTCAAAAATCTTGATTTATTGATGTTAAGACCTTTTCTGTTACACAAATATATATGAAGGTTATAAACAGAAAAGCAAACCTGTGAGGTTAAACAATAACAACTACAACAACATTTCCCATCTTCATATTTCTCCTGTTTTTCTTCTCACCAAGGTATTTGCAGTATTTGCAAAATAAACTTAACAGCTTATGATTTAACTTTTTGGGCTTTGCAAACATTTATTCTAGCGTGCATAAATGGTGACATTTGACTAGTCACGTATATGAATGTAAAATGCAGGCTATTTAAATGATCATGTAAGAATCCAAAGCTTAAAGGAATTCTTCACCCACAAAATGACCATTTGTATATTAATTGTCATGCTACGTTACTTTGAATTCATGAAGAGAACTTTGTTTGTCTAGCACGTATAATCCAAGTCTCATTTATCCAGTTGTATGCTCAGTACTTTCCACACACATGCATTTTTGCCAAAATCTTTGTATTTAAAACTGAACTGGAATAAAAATGTATTTATGCTCTCTTCAAAGAGTCCAATACTAAGGGTTTTTTTAAGCTAAAATGCAAGTGTTTGGGAAGTACAGAGCATACCACTGGATGAATGAGACTTGGATTATACTGCATGAGTTGTGGGAGAGTTTGTTAAAGGATGTTTTGATATTGTTTTGCTGTTGTTAGTTGTTGTATGGTGTGGTCCCCAATCAGTGAATAAATAAATAAATGTATTCACCATTTCCCATCAAGGCTTTCAAGAAAAATTAAGTATCCTTCAAGAATTCAAGGCAACATGGAACGACTAAGTAACATGGAACGACTAAGATTTATAAATGGACATTCTGTGGGTAAAGTGTTCCTTTAACACTGGTTGACTTCATGATTAAAAAAAAACCCTATATGTTTCCTTTGGGTGGAGATCCTCAGCCACAGAGGCTAAAGTGCCCCAGTTTAACAAAAAATGACACAGATATTATTTAGAGCAAATTTTAGAATTAAACCACTTCAGAAGTACTCATAAAAAAATAGTAAATGGTAAATGGGGTGCACTTATGTGACACTTTTTAGCCTGAAATGGACAAATTCCCTCACAGTGTCTCCTATTTATACACACTCAATGGGAGCAATTTGTAGTTCTGTGATTACTTAATAATATTGACTGAGGCGACAGAGGTAAAAGCGCAATGTAAGCCAAATCTTATTTAAGAAATCCCCCAAAAAGCCAGTATGTGTGAGTGCATCTATGATACATCCTGTCAAGGTGTCCTTGAGCGACACTGAATGAATGTCTACCAGCTCACTTACTAATAAGATGAGCTTTTTAACTATATATCATAGACATGCAGACTTGTACAAACTAATTCAGTTCAAGACAAGAATAAAATACTGTCTTGTTCTTTAGTCTGTGTAAAATGCAACTTACCATCTGTTTGTGTTTGTACTTACCTCTGCTAGATTCCATGCTCTGCGCTCATTGTCCCATCGCTCAGAATTCCCCAACACAAGTGGGAGGCATGGAAAAGTCCCTGCATGATCTTAATATGTACACGAAATATATTTATATTCCTCAAATTAAGCCCCGTAGCACATAAGGCTGCTCCTTGTCTGCCTTGCTCCCCAGATACAAAAAGGTTTTCTACCAAGGAGGGTTACAGCTACCTGCCTTTCAAGAAAATAACCAACGCAACAAACTCCCCCAAATCACTACGTGCACAGGACCATCACCCCTGTCCCCATCCATCTCTCTCTGTGTCTGTCTCTTCCTTTCTCTACCATCCCCCTCTTCCTCCTCTCATCCACCACTCCATCACTCAGGAAGCCTGGTCTTCCTGAAAACAAGCATGGGAGCATGGAAAGGGACAAGGCTGAGGGGGGCAGGTACGTGAGGGGGAGGCAGAGGATGTTTTTGTCATTCCTCTGCCCCTCTGGTCGCTGCAGGCCTCACTGAGTCCATCCTGAGGAAGCAACGTTCGCGTCACTCTTGCCAGGCCTTGGGCCCACACGTGCTGCCTGTTGCGGCCGGTATGACGCAGTAGCTACAGCGCTCTGGTAGCCCCTCACACATGGGAGCTATAAAGACATGTGCGGATTAAAACTGTGGAAAACTTGCTTTTCACATCATAACGGCACAAGCAAGCAGGAAAAGTCCACACAAAGTCACATCGAGTGCATTTCAGTTCCATTAAAGGGGTCAAATGTGGTGTAGAGAGAAACCATGAGGAGGCTTTGTGTTTTGTCTGAACAAAAGTCTAGAACTTTGCCAGCAAACCACACTCCATTTCCTGTCACAAACTGCCAGGCCACCTGCAAATGTGGGAATTCCTTATCAGGTGTTTTCCAGTGACTCCCATTGACGGATTTATAGGAAATCTAAAAATGCATGTCTGCTTCTAGGTGCTGTATTTGTATTTTAACAAAACATGGCTCAGCCTCAACATGGCCATCAAGCATATCCTGTCATCATCGGGTAGCATTTGGTATGTCCACTGTTGTTGGTTTAATTGGTTTAACTGTGTGTGTTCTGCAGGAGGAGACATGACTTCAACCCTAAATGCAGCTGAAAAATGGACACAAAATTCATTGATCAGTTCTACACATTTAATTCAACACAAAATAATGTTAATTCAATCAAAAGATCCTATTTTAGCCACATGAGGTTTTAATTTGACCAGCAGGCCCGCCGTCAGAGAGGGTCAAAGGGTACAGGGTCAAGGTCAAATGGGGGGCCCATGAGCAGATCCATGCTAACCCTAGTACAACAATTTACCACCTGACTTAAATCACTGACAATACAAGCTATATGTATTTACATGATAAATAAATGCATTTTAAAGTGCCATCTGATACTACTCTGATACTAAAAGGTTATAACTGAAAAAGTGAGAGTTAACAGCCATATAGTCTTCACACTATCTCAGTTCTGCACACAATCTGACCAATATTTAATCAAAGCAACCCTCACGATTAAATTAATAGGCCTAAATGAAAAAAAAGTTCACTCCTGACATGATGTCATGATTGAATACCTTGCAGTAATTTCCTCTAATCATTTATTGGAGGGTATTTTTTGGCCCAGGACACACGTGACTACCTCTGCTTTTCAAAATAAGAAAACAAGGTCTTAACAGTAGATACAAGTGCATGTGGAAATATGATGAATTGTTGTCAGGACATATAAAAATGTATAGGGACGTTTTCTATGCTTAGTTCAGCAAGATAATCCTCACATATCAACACCTTTTTCATGATTATTGAAGCCTAAATGCATCACCAGAAGTAAAAGGCTAATGTTAGGCTATAAACAAACTACACTATGGTCACATGACCTAACGTCACCGCCATAACAAGACTGTAAAGCTGTGTTTGGTGAAGTTCAACGTGATGCTGCTCTGTAGTCTCATTTGGCCACTTGTTATCAGCCGCCTTTTTTAGGACACATAGCAGCTTTAAAGTTCACGAGTGGAGTCTTTATATCGTAGAACAAAACATGAAAATCTTTTAACCTTGTGTTAACCACAGACTTTATTTCAGGCATCTAACCAGAAACCCATCAAAAAAAAAATTCCACTGACTCTAAAACAAGGGAACCGGCAGTGGTAAAATGCTAACTCATTTCCGGGTTTTAGGACTCATTCCTGAGGCACTCTTTATAGTTACAAAGAGCTTTGCACAGACACTTGTAATGAATTTACAGATACCTAGTGCACCTCGATCCTGCATTCATAAAGAATAGAACATGTATAAAAAATGTTATTTAATATTAACTGTAGCGTGAGATGTGTTAGAGTCTTTATAAACAAGCAACCCTTCATATGAGAACAGAGCTCTTGACTATAAGTAGCATGTGACAACAAGGTGACTGTGAGTGGAGACAGTTCCATGGAGCGCAGCCTGAAAGTGACAGAGGCCATAATAACAGGATGTTTACAGCCTGTGGAATCGCTGCCAGGGATGACCACGAGCAGGCAGCGACCGTGGCTGGAAACCAGAGCAAAGAGGAAATACAGGCCAGCCAGGTTCCCTCCAGATGCACCAAACATATCCTTGCTGACTGTGAGCTTTATTTACAGACATACGCTACCTGGCTGGGGTCTGCTCAGGTAGATTTAAATCTACTATGACCTTTGATCCCTAAAGAAACCACTCTCAATTAACATGTGCAATGACAAGATTGTCTGTCTTCTAGCCTCCTTTTCAGTGTCACACACACACACACACACACACACACACACACACACACACACTGTTCTCTGAAGTGGTCAGCTGCAGGTGACAGCAGACAGAAGGACACTGGTGGTTTCTGACACCAGGGAGGGAGCGTAGCAGATTCACTGTCACCAGTAGTTTCTTTTGCTCATCAGTGGACACTTGCTGCACCAGGCTGCAACATCCACCACAGCAGAGTCTCTACCATCATGGCTATCACTGACTTCCTCGCAGTCTCGGACATCACCTCGGCTATTAATGCTTGTAAAGGTGAGCTGATTTTGTGATTAAAATGAGTGCGTCTACATTGAAAATTGTTCTTGTCTTGATGTAAGGTGTCTACTACATCATAATTTTATCTAATCAAGTTTTGCCTGTGATTTCACTTTCAGCGAAGGACTCCTTCAACCCAAAGATGTTCTTCAGAACAGTGGGTTTATCCAAGAAAAATCCAACAGAGATCGAGAGGGTCTTTAAAATTTTGGATCAGGACAAAAGCGGCTTCATAGAACAGGATGAGTTACAGTTGAGTTTTATACACATGAAATATCTTATACATATATTCTGTTCCATCTATAATTCATAAGTCAAGCTGTATTTCACCAAACTTTTTTCTTAATGTGTCGCTTCATCCCCGCTCTTCGTCAGACTGTTCCTGCAGAACTTCTCCAAAGGAGCGAGGCCCCTGACTGCAGCTGAGACCAGAGGTTTCCTTCTGGAGGGAGACTCAGATGGAGACGGGAAGATCGGCTGGGAAGGTAGGCAGGTCCGAGGGCCACTTCACTGTAGATACTGCTCAGGGGTCCACTTTCTTTTGTGGTTTATTAGGCTTTAAGATTTGCTTTATCATAAGAAGGAGCAAACAGAGAGGTGATTGAGATCAGTGAAAAAGCTTTGAGTGTGAAGAATACGACGCCAAGCTACTTAATACTACTTACAGTAAGCTTAACAAGCAATCTGAAATGATGACATGATTTTTCTATTAATGCTAAGAGCAAAAACAGCCAATCAGATACAAGAATTTACCCATCTACAATGTTGTTCATTCTTTTTCGAAATCCTCACATATTACTTAGCGATAATATAATATTCTACAAAAAAGGTAAAGCAAATAGTGACTAAAAAGTGAAATTAACACAGTATTTTTTAATACATAACAACACAATTTTGTAATAAGGTTGAAAGAAATACTAAAATAGGAAGTTGGCTGAAATAGAAATAAAAAGAAATCAAACTACATCCAAGAACACAGGTCATACAGGAAGTAGTATCTCATTTACAAATGTGGACAATGAATCAGCATCAGCTTTATTCATTTTTCTTGTTTGCACTCCTGAAAAAGAGAAATAACATCTGTCACATGCACAAAACAAATGCAAATAACAGCCTGAAAACACCCTGTTCTGAATTATACAAGTTGCTTTCATCATGACAAATTGTAATTGTAAGTACAGCAAGAAATGTTTTTTTTTTTTAATCTTAAAGGAACAATTCACCCCATCCCCTTACATTTAGTGCTATTTGTCAATCTAGATTGTTTTGGGGTGTGTTGCAGAGTGTTGGATATATCAGTCATAGAGATGTCTGCCTTCTCTCTAATATAATGGAACTAGATGTCACTCGGCTTGTGGTGCTCAAAGAGGCATAAAAATAAAAAAAAACTCAACAGCAATATCTCTTTCCAGAAATCATGACCCAGTTACTCAAGATAATCCACAGACCTTGTTTCATGTAGGAACTATTTTCTGTCTATAGAACTACACCCCAAACCATATCACCGCACAGAAGGAAGCATGCATCTACTCAGCCCCTGCAGGATGTTGAGACGTGATCACAATTAATGCAAATTCAGCCAATCCCTATGCTTTGTGCGCCACCTTGCAATTTTGTCCAATCACCACAACTTTATCCCAAATTTGACTTTTTAAAACAGGTAAAATTTCAGTTCATTGTAGAGCTGGTCTCTGTTTATCATGAGACTACTGTTGCGGGAGTGTGAGCTACGTGCCTGGGACACACACAGTGACAGGTCTAACTGTTAGCATCACACAGCCATCAGAAATAGAATCTCATTCTCTGAGAAATGCTGAATGCTTATAATAATAGGCTCTGAATTTTAACATACCTCCATAACTTCACTGTGAAAAAAAGCCCCTAAAACATTGCATCATGCATCGCAATGTTTTTAGAAATGCAAATCCAAAAAACCAGCCCACGAAATTCTGGAGGGACTGTCTACTGCTGGCTCACCTAGCACCACTGAGCTAGCTAATATTACAGCTCAGTAATTGGAGAATGCTTATTTCCACATGGTTGTAAATAAAAAAAATGTCTAACATTCTTTCTTTTCTTTTTTTTTTCCAGAGTTTTCTGCGCTGGTCAAGTCATCATAAAGCATATGTGACTCCTATGATTTGTTGTATGGTGATAATCTCAGGGTGGACCTCCTTTTATAGTGTTTTAGCTACAGTAAATGACGCAGACTCATTCAGGGATCTTATGTGTTGAAAGTAATATGTTTTAACAGAAAGTAATATGATAAAGTAATGAAAGTAATCCACAAATTTAATCTTGTCTCTCTGCTATGTGTTCCTGCCAGAAAACTGTACAAATAAATACACTCTGCTCCGTGAAATGCTGAAGTGTGTGTTTTTCTGTTCCTGTTTATACTTAGGAAGACCCTTGTAGACATGAGCAGAATAATCTCACAAGCCTTGTGTTGTGATGTTATATTGAGCACTGGGAGAGGTCCAGCCTGTCCAGGGGGTCAGGAGGCTTTTGGTTTCTCTAATTAACACCAGGAGCAACTTTTCACAGTGCAAATGAAGCATTTGTCATTCTGGCAACCTGAATTTGACTCCTCAGATAAGGTGATTTGGTGTAAATTAAATGATAACACTTAAAAAAACATGAACTCAACATTTCACCTATTTTTCTTTCAAAGGTCCAGTGTGTAAGACCGAATATAATATGTATAATCACCTTGAAATAAGAATCAGCTTCACAAAAACAATGACTTTTTTATGTGAAACTGCTTTATTAAGTATTTTTATTGGTTTAAATAACCTGGCCCATTTGTTTTGGAGAGGAAGAGACCTCTGCAGATACTTTTTTCCCTGGGAAAGACCTCTTGAACGGATCTTAAGTTATAAAAGTTTTTATTGGTTTAAATAACCTGGCCCATTTGTTTTGGAGAGGAAGAGACCTCTGCAGATACTTTTTTCCCTGGGAAAGACCTCTTGAAAGGATCTTAAGTTATAAAAGGAAAAAAGGTGAGCGTACATTAGTTGGTGCTGGGCTAGCAGCTTGTCCACGACATGCCAAACTGCATCAGAGTGGCACTCCCAGAAATGTTTTCATAGGGGTTGCCAGATGGAGCCACTGTAGCGATTGTGTCATGGCCCTCTTGGCCACCCCTTGGCAGTGCCACTGCAAAAACTTGAAGACGCTTCGTTTATTAGTGTGAATTGCAGACTGGGGGGGGGGGCACAGCTGGATCGGAGGGTCTGGCAGGCAGAGCTCAGTGATGGCTGCTGGTGGAATACTCGCAGTGACCCAGCAGAGAAACTGTGGGACAGGATAAAGTTTCTATGCAAGCACATTTACAGGACTTCTGTTAATGAAGCACATTTATTTGCCACTCTCTCTCAGATGGCAGAGGAATATATAGGTCACTTCTATTTCTGCTGCAGCATGAGAAAACAAACCTCTGCTCTCAGGTCAAGCATCAGAGAAGGGTCGTTGATTTAAAATCATACATTAGAAAATCTTAGACTTTTATGTGGTTGTTGATTTCTTAAAATATACGTGTGTTTATCAGTCCTATAGATGCTTACTGAGTTTGGGAAATTAGGGTTGAGCTGTCTGGGTATTCTGCTTATTTTGCAAAAACAAATGTACATTTCAAATATACAGATCGGAACATGATGGCGGTGGGTCGTCCTATGCTGTCTCAAATTGCAGAAGTTCATCCCCGCTGTGAGATATTTGTAATTTAAACCTGATGTGGAAGAAGCGGCAGGAATAGTTGCAGTATTAATGGCTGAGTCATTTGAGGTGAGAGACCTCACTTAACCACAGCAAATGTTTAAAGCCAAAGATTAATTTTACTGAAGTGAAAAAGAATATTTGTTCTGTAAGTGCTCCTTCAGGCTGCTGAGACATCACACACCTGAAACCACTGGTGTGGGGGAAGGAAGTGACAAATTAGACAACATATTTAAGATTTTAAGAGTTTATTTAGAAGCTGCAGTTAAACTGAGAGTTTATTATACCCATAGGTATAATATACAATACATATATGATGATTTGTGCAGTCAATTAAAATCTGCTGATATTAACTCTATATCATATCAGTCACAGGATCATCTCAACACTGCCACCTGATGTGTAACAGTCACATCACAGCCTGCACCCGTCATGAGTGCAAATATGGGCATGGAAAGACCCCCCGGACCAGTTCTTCATTTAATTTCATTGTCTGGTGCTGTGTAAGAACTCGGTGTCATTGAGCAATCACACATCCAAGTGTTGGCACGGAGGTAAGTTTATGGTGTTTCCTAAAAATAGCAACACAAATAGTTTCATCGCCATAAGGAGGAATGGCCTGAATGGGTGTAAGGGCTGAGCTCCAAAAATAAGAGCTGGCTTGGCGTTTCCTCAGCTGCGTGAGTAGATTGTGATCATATGCGCTATTCAATTAAAGCATTTCAATTAATCCCACTAGCTAGCCAATCAAACCCCTCCCCTCTCTGGCTCAGTAGTTACTACTTTCTGCAGCTGTCATTCAGCCTGTCCACAAACCCTCCATGATATTGCGCTAAACACAAGAACAGAGAAACGTTAGTTATTATTGGAGACATTCATGTTACAATCTGCGTAAAAAACACATGAAGACACACTGACTCAAAAAATATAATGTGATTTTTTTTTACTTGGTCACCACAGTACCATCTGCTGCCATAATCAGTCACAACAACCAGAGTTTTCCGACACTGGAATGTCACTGCAGACATTTTACGCACGCCAATTACGCACGGGCGCACCAAAACTGTACAGTTCAGAGGCACGTGTGGGTGATAAGTCATCACAGGTGATTATGATATAAAAGTATAGGGTGGCTCGTGCTTTGCTATAAACTACACAATTACATTGTTTTTTATAAATAAGAAAATCTAGCAATATACTTTAGATGGCTCAGCTGACAATGTAGCTGACATTTTAAAGGGCCATACACACAATATATTTTACAAACATCACAACCATTATTATAAAGATAAAGTTTAAAAGTCACATTAGAGAGTTTGTAAAAAAAAAAAAAAAAACTTATATTAAGAAGTCTTAGATACAATGTTTAAAACACTTTGGCACAGTCTCTGAGTTAAGTTTCATCAACAAACCTGCCTGATAACAAAATAAGCAGCTGTCACACTCAAGCCTGCTCGAGCTGTCTGATAATTTGCAATGCACAACATAAAAGTTTACCTCACTCTTGCCTCCCGTGGTGCTCTGCACAGTCTAACAGATCAAAACTTCATGGCCACTACATGGAATACGTTTCACCCAAATCAGCAGCGTATATTATTAGCCTTATGCAATATCAAGCACTTTTGCATAGGCCTACACTTAGCCTACCATTTAAGCATCTTCATTTATGTGCATATAAATAGAACAGCTCTGTCTACTGGACACATTTTTCGACCCACTGCTTTGACTGCACTGCACACAGTGTCCATTACATAGCCTATGCATCATATTTCGGGCCAGTGAAGGTATATAAGCTCGCGGGAGAGGCTGAGGGTTTTCACTGCAGTGACTGAGCAGATTCATCTGAGCGAATCCACTCTCTACCTTTGGAGACAAACCTAAAGTGAGTTTCACTGAGGAGCTGCAGGCCTTTAGGCAAATCTACTTGCCTGACTCAAAAAGGGTTTTCGGGGCTTCGACTTCATGCAATGGGATATAAATCAAGCAAAGGGGCCGCACAGGGCCAGATTCTGAACATCAGAGGCTCAGAGTTTGGCTTTGGACTAACTAAGGAACCAAATGGGAAAAAAATTGCCAACCAACCACAGCTGCAAAGGATACTTGATCTTTTGCCTTGGAGGGCTTGGTTTTGGGATAATTGGACTACCTTTTCTGATCATTTGTGGCTTGTGTTTTGGGGATGCCAGAGAGGAATACTCACAGAGAGGAACTGTTAAATATATTGCATGATATATTTTAGATTACATGCACCTCTGTAACTTTGAAAGCAGTGAGGGAACTTAGCATGCTAAGCTTAAAAGTAAAACAGCTTAACTCCTGTCTGATTTGCTGCAGCTGAACTGATGAATTAATGACTTGTCCTCTGCTCTCCTCCCTTAGTCAAAAATGGCATTCGCCGGAATTCTGAATGACGCTGACATCACTGCAGCCCTTGCGGCTTGCCAAGGTAAACTCAACAATAAAAGTGACACAGCAGGCAATATTTTAGTTGAGGAGAGCCTAGACGGGAGCTACACGTGCACAAAATCCACAGTCAGATCTGTGTTGCAAGACTTCTTGTCCTTAATGCTGCAGGATTCAGTTGCAAACAGAGAATCACATCATCAGATTACAGCCTGATGTTTTTGCATTTAACACTATGGGGTTGTCTTGGGGCTGGATCAACAGTGCAGCTAGCTTGCAGAATGTGCAATTTCCGCACATCTTAGCAGAAAGTAATTTGTATCAGCATAGCAATTGTAAGAAAAACACCTCTGCAAATTAATCTAAAATGAGTGCCAGACAAAGCTGAGGTCAGGGAAGAGTATCAACGGACCGCTAGGCCTTGCAGCTGTAAAACACTCATCAGTCTCTGTGTGATATATCTACACCATATCACTTGACCTCTCTTCTGTCTCCTCACAGCTGCCGACTCTTTCAAGCACAAGGACTTCTTTTCCAAGGTCGGTCTTACTGGCAAGAGCCCCGATGACATCAAGAAGGCCTTTGCCGTGATTGACCAGGACAAGAGTGGCTTCATTGAGGAGGATGAGCTGAAGTAGGCACCATCTCTTAAGCTTTTCACCTACAGCTTCTCTGAACCTTGTAGTGCAGGGATCATCGTTCTTTGGACCACAGTGAACTGGGGATGATAGTGCACCAAAGCTTCTGAGAAGTAGAAAAACAGTAACTCTATGCCAGCTCTGGTGTCTGATGGCACAGCAGAGGAGATAACAGAACAGCTTTAAATTTTGAGCCAAATTAAATCTTAAATTATCCAGAACAATACAATAAGAAGAGATTTTCTGAAACATGACCTCTACAAACTCTCAATTCATGATCTGGCAGAAGAAATATTTACATGTCTATTCCTGTCCTTACTCTGTATTTACTGTGCCACTCAGTATTTCCCTCTGATCACCCCCTACAGGCTGTTCCTGCAGAACTTCTCTTCCTCTGCCAGAGCTCTGACCGATGCTGAGACCAAGGCTTTCCTCAAGGCCGGTGACACTGATGGTGACGGCATGATCGGATGCGATGGTGAGAAAACAAGAGGAACTTTATTAGGAATTCAGATTTAATGTCTTCAAATGTATGCAAAGCTCTCCAGAGATCTTAAAATAAAAACACTCTCTTTCTCTGTCTCCCTGCAGAGTTTGCCGCCCTGGTCAAGGGATAAATGAAGCAACAGACCAACATCTTACTTCACTACTCTAAAGGAACAACTTGAGCCAAGACTCCTCTCTTCTTCTCCTCTTCCCTTTCACTCTCTCTCTTCAACTCTACATGGCTTTTATACACTTGACCTTTTACCCCCCTGGCCTTAGACACACCGCTTCCCCCCTTTCTCTCTCTCTCTCTGGCAACGTTCACCCCTTTGCTGTCCACGATGAATGTACCTGACTAAGTGTATAGCGTGGTTAACTTGTGTCTTTCTCTCTCTCACTCACTTCTGTCATTGTTTTACTATGTGAGTTTTGCTAACTGTGAGATCAGTGATGATGCACTTTTATGGGAAACGGACAGACGATGAGCTAACAATAAAGGTTCTTTTTCAATAACATCTGACCCTGGTTTTCAATATGCTTTTCAAGCAGTGAATCAAAGTTACAAAAAATTGTTGTGACAGTAAAGGTAACATTCTGACAATGCAGGAAATGGTCTTAACACCCATGTTAGCCTCCAGTTTTTACACTAAAGAGGACGATTTAGATGATGAATCTGGGAAAAGGAAAAACATTTTACAAAATAAATCTGACCATTTTATCTAGATCAATCCACTAAATGAACACATGAGAATAAATCTCAGGCCACTGAGGCCACAGCAATGACTATGGCTACAAGTGACAGTAAACATTAAGCTAAAATGCTAATTTAAAGCAACAGCAGCACAAGTGGAGAAGAGTCAAAAAGTCAGCGAAGTTACTCAGTAATGTGCATTATACAGCAATTTTTACCTAAAGTTTGCTGACATTAACCTCCAAACCATACCTAATATTAGCCAACATTAGCTAGCATGAACCTCTGTAAACTGCAATCTGACATAGCCAAACTGTGAAAGTCAATCCGCTAAAGTCAAAGACCAACATTGTGGAAGAGACATCTGTAAATCAGTGGATACATTTAGTTGAGCTCACAATCCAAGTGGCAACCCGCCCGAGGCTGAAATATGAAGGTGCCAAAAACTGCAGTTCTCTGAATGGCCACTTGAGGCTGGCTCCAGAAGCGAAGCGAGTCCGTCCCCATAGACCCCCATAGCAGAAATATACAGTACAGGCCAAAAGTTTGGACACACCTTCTCATTCAATGCGTTTTCTTTATTTTCATGACTATTTACATTGTAGATTCTCACTGAAGGCATCAAAACTATGAATGAACACGTGGAGTTATGTACTTAACAAAAAAAGGTGAAATAACTGAAAACATGTTTTATATTCTAGTTTCTTCAAAATAGCCACCCTTTGCTCTGATTACTGCTTTGCACACTCTTGGCATTCTCTCCATGAGCTTCAAGAGGTAGTCAC